ATTCTATCATTGTTTTAGAGTATGTAAAAATACAAAAAAAATTAAATATTTTCAGTTTCAAGTCTACTACTCAGTGCTTTGACTTGTAGAAATGGAGAACAAAGCATCAGAAGTCTTTTAAATAAATTGCAATCATTCACATTTTAGGCACCTAATTATGCTGAAAATGCAATTACACGTTTAAACAGATGATAATGCCTCAGGGCTAGTCCAGTTGATTTGCTGCTTCTTTAGCAATATAGCTTCTTTGCTCTCAAACTTCTAAAAGCATTACAGTACATGCAAGTGTGGCTATGTACAAATGGTCTGAAATTGTCACACATGCACTTGGTGGCAGTTTAGTCTTTCCCATCTTATTAACTGCAACTAAAATATATATTTCATATACAGGCACTCATATACATTCCAATTGTAATTTCATAGTTTATATCAAATGCTTTGTTGGAGGGGGGTTAAATCACATGCAAACTTTACGTTCCGGTATTTGTAAATGGAAAAGAACATCAGCTAAAACCACAAAATGTATGTTATTTACACTTCAGCAAGGCTACTTATTAACAAACTTTTGAACTAGAGTTCTATTTCCATATTATGGGAAGGATACAATTACCAGTTTACATTCCATTTCTCATTCTATGTAACCATAGCATCAGATTAGTAATGTTAGAGTTATAGGACACCATCCAACAACCATTGGCACTATAGAGGCTGAAGTTCCACAGCCGCCCCAAAATAAAACGGAAGCTGCCACCATTACCCCTCCCCTACACAAGCCCCATTAATCCCTAGACTTGGTTTGCCCATGCCTCCCACCAACGTGCCCCACTTCTCTGGCCCTACTGGAACCACAAAACTACCTTAGCAGCTGGTCTAACCCCAGCAGATAACTCCAAAGGGTAGGTGAAGACAAGGAACAGGTTTCAGGCCCATTTTATTTTTACATTAAAAACATAGCCATTTTGAGTTGGGGGTGGGAGATTCCACATACACAACCATTTGCTGGCTAATGGCATTTAGGACAACTCTTGTCCCAATTCCCAGCCTTATGTGTGCCCCCGCCCAACATTTCCCCTCTCTGCCCCCCTTTGAAGAGGGTGAAGGAGGGCACCATTTCCACCAGCAAGAGAGGACTTCCTATACTACCCCTCACATCCCTATTGATGATGTCTAACCAGCAGCTGGGAGGTGTGATTCCCAGCCTGGGTAGACAGACATGCTAGCTCTGCCCAAGCTAGCTCCTAAGAATAGCAGCCTGACTGCAGTGGTACAGGAAGCAACTCCAGCTAGCCACCCAAGTACAGTCCCATCAGGATACTACTTCTCAGTGCTAGCTTGAGCAGAACTCATCGGTATCTACCCACGCTGGGAAGCACCCTCCCAGCTACTGGGTAGACATACCCTTTGTTGGCTTGGGTGAGAGGGAATTTCTGCCAACTATGGAGAAACAGGCCCATCAATTGACTTAAGATATAAGGCTTGGCATGGGCTTAGTCCTTCTAGATCCTCCCTTCCAGGCTATGGCTATATCTTGGCCAATGCTGCCTGCATAACATCTTTAAGAGATGACCTTTCCTATCCATCCCCACAGCTAAAATTCCCAACCAGGCTCTCATCTTGATCACTGAATTCTCAGGCCTTAACAAATGCAGTCTTGCCCTGCTCATATCCATCCAGAATGCTGCTGCCAAGATCATTTCCTAGCCCATTGTCACCTCTCTCCTTTCATCCCTCCCCTGGCTCCCCCTTCTCTATCACACCAAATACAAGATGTTTGTCTTCACTTTCAAGGCCCTTCACAGTTAAACCCCATCTTGCCTATCATCTCTCATTTGCTACTGAGTTGTCAACAGTTGCCTACAATCAGTCCATGATGCCAGCCTCCACTGCCCACTTGTTAAGTTTTCAAACAAGCATCTTCATGCTATCTCCCATGCCGTCCCTCATGATTGGGAGGAGCACCCCATCAAATCTGCATAACTAACTCATCCTCCTTAAAACTCTCCTCCACGATGATGCCTACAAAAAGCTTGACAATGAACAGCTAGGCTGCTGGTGTGCTGAGACCACTCCTAGCATGTGGCCAGTACTGTTTCCTTGTTATCCCCATCTGACCAAATTAATCTGTTGCCTTTAGTCTTATACTTAGATTGTAGGCTCTTTGGGGCAGGGCCCATCTTTCATTCTGTGTTGTAGAGCGACTAGCACAGTGGGGTCCAAGGCTATGGCTACTGTTACAGTAATACAAAGTAATACACAATTATTACACAACAATTAAACATTCCAAAAAGAGGGGTGGGGGATGAGACACATTAAATACTAACACATTATATTAAATTAGAATTGAGGTTGAGATTTTAAGCAACAAAACACAAGACATTTAAACTTTGTTCCCCCTAGTAACTTTACTCAGGCAATTTGCACCAGAAAGGAAATGTCTTATTTAAAAAGATACAAGGATGCTCTCAGGTTAAAAATTGTATAACTCTGTAAGCTGTTTGGGGAGACAATTTGTATAAAGTAGAAGAGGTAAAGAATTGCTGAACAAAGAAAAAGTAGCTTGTTTCACAGTCAATCATATTAACCATGGAAAGCAATATAACATTTACCCCTGTAAATAAAATCCTGAAACAAGGTCTTCCCTTTGTAAGTGAAATTGTGAGAGCTACAGTTTGTAAATTACCCTAGGTGGTAGTTATCCATTAGAATTTCAGTTCCTGAGTCATCCTTCACTGTCCCAAAACACAGTGGAGAGTCACAGCTTAACTTCTTGTACTTTAGCAAGTTAGAACAAATACTGAAAACAAAAAGCACTCTTTTTAAACTCAGAAGGATATACTAATTCCTAGACTACAGGCAGAAATACTGCATGAATGCAGGATCTCTCTCTTGGGGAAAGGCACCATTATTTAGAACTTCACTCATCAAAACATGACACACATCAATTATAGTTTCAAAGGCCATTTATTGAATTGCAAAAGAAATTCACTCCTAGTCTAATCCTTTGTTTCTTTACCATAAAAATACCTATCCTGGCACATACAAACTCAAGCCACCCAGAACACCCAAATAACAATGTTTTGGGTTTTTCGGAGCTACAGATTATAAAACTATGGACTATTTCTGTTGTAATTAACTGACTACTACTCTAGCAGGGTAGTTAAAGGTCAAACCTTAATTCAAGTGCCACTACTCACATTTAATAATGTTTTATAGGAGTATCTGGAAACTTGTCAGTTTTCAGAAGTTCCCCCATCAATGTATTCATCTTTTTGTTGTGAAACTACAATATAAAAGTCAGAGGTAGTCAATTATTTTTGTCAAGGTCCAAATTTCTAGGTCAAGATATAGTCAAGGTCCAGACTCCAGAGAAAATAAAAAATAATAAGTAAATAAAAAGATTTCTGGTTCTGTTCAAAAGCATCTGGCAGTCCAGATTTGCCCTGTGGTCTGCCTACTGACTACCCGTGATATAAGTGAACCTGAGGGATGAGTGGAAAAAACAGAATCAGACTAAGTGTGACTGATGTTTCAAACAGCAATAGGCATTTTTTAAAATATGTCTAATTTACAGTTTTAATTTCACTCTCTAAAGAGAAAGATATTCAAGAAATGTGATCTACTACAATTACTGGACTAACTAACAGCCTGTTTGGCCTACTTTTGAATGCAACTTACTTAAAAGAAGTGGTATGCATCTTTATAAAGTAACAATTTTTTTTTTTTAAATCACTCATATGTCCAGAATTGAATAGCTTACATGTCTGTTTATTTTTCTGTAGAGGTAAATGTTTTGAAAATTTGAACAGACTATTGAACACATGGTTTCCAAATAGTTAGTCCTTTAAAAGTTTAACAAGTACTGAGATTATATAGATAAAATGGAACATCACAATGAAATGTCCATAGTTTCTACTGCTTACCAAACTCAAACTTACTAAAATCCAAATCAAAACACAAACCTGACACTTAACCACAATATTTTTGTTCATGGTAAACATTGCTGGATATATATATTGAAAGCAAAATTATAAAAATTGTCTTTTTCAGTGCACAGCACCACTAAATAAATAGGCACAGAAAGTTTAAGTGGTTAACTAGTGTGGCTTTGTACTGATGCACTTATCTGGTAGAAAGGTAATACCTTGAAATATATCTCAGCATGCAAGATAAACTCAGTCAGGTACTGCAAATTTTACAAATCTATTTATCATTGCTCAGGACAGGTTTGGCATTGTACAGAGATCTGTGCAATTTAAGGAATGGCAAATGCATTAAAGTTTATCCCATTATATCAGAAGGAAGAGCCTGGTACAGGGAATCCTTCATTGAACCTGGATGGAGATAAGAGAACAATGATGTTAAGAGAGGTGGTTGTGCCTAAATTATATCAAGGAACTGGTGTACTACTTGAACTTTTGACCCCAAGTGCTAAAGAGAAAGATCATGAATTGCTGATTAAAACAACGGAATATAACTGATTTGGATATTTATTCAAAGCACAGTTGAAGAATGTGTAAACTTGAGAGAAAACTAAGGACAAAAAGAACGGGTCAACAATGAAGAGAACGGTGGGCTATCTTAACCCACCTCACTCACAATTCAGGATCAGCACCATTCCAGCTGCCTTTCCTCTCACGTACTGAGTCTCAATTTCTCACACACAAACACGCACATTTTGGCTTTATCTACACTAGGATTTTTGACCCAGAATTTCCTACCATTGCTACCTCTAGTGAGCGTGACTGGCAGGAGCAACGAGGAGTGTACCTGTAGGAAAGAGTCACCAAAGAGTGCCAGCTTTTCAAGAACCACGTCCTGCAGACCTGCTCTGTGTAGGGTTTGACGACACCGTGTTTAAAACACCAGTGGTGCCTGCCTGGAGACTTGTCTATTTTAATGCACTTAGTGTATTGGGGGGAGGAAGCTTGCGGAGTCTAGGCACAAACTTCGCCCTCTTGGCAAGCGGGAGCCAAGGCACCGGCGAGCCCAGCAGCACTTACCCAGGCACTTGATGCGGAAGCCGGCGGGCGGCTTGAGGGAGCGGCGCGTCCAGCCCTCCCGCAGCACCTCCAGGTGCTCCTCCTTGCCCTGGATCAGCAGCACCTGCTCGTCCAGCCAGCCCAGGAAGAAGGTCTCGGCCACGGCCGCCGTCACGCGCGGGTTCCAGAAGTGCTGCATGTTCTCCTGCTTGAAGTCCGCGAAGATCTCATAGCCGATGTGGTGGCGCCCGAGCTGGGGCGGCTCATCGCCAGGCGGCTCCCCCGGCGGCGGCTGCCGCTCTGCGTCCTCCCGCCTCTCCTCCGCCTCCAGCGCAGCCCCGGGGCTCAGGACGATGGCCAGGGAGTGCGGGGCGATCTGCAGAAACTTCTGCGTCTTCCGAGGCATCGCTAAGGGGCGCCGCAGCCTCTGCACGAAAGAGACACCCCCGAGCCCCCATCAAGGGAGGGCGGAGCTTGACACAGCCCCCTGCCTGCACCGGCCGGGCTGCCCCTGGCGCTGCCCCTCTCCCCAGCACAGGCCTAGGCTGCCTCCTGTCCCCCCCGCTGCACACGTGCGCCCCACCCGCCTGCCGCCCCAGGAGGCGCAACGCGGTGTTAGGCGCAGGCTCCTCCTGCACAACCTGCCGCCCCCTCCCCACCCAGCCTCGTGCTCTGCAGCGAGCCAGCTCCCGGGGGGCGGGTTGGGCTGCTGAGCCCTGTAGACGCACGTTACCTCCTGTTGCAGGCTCCTCTCCCAGCTCCAGGCATGCTCTACCGTGTCTCCAGACAGGGCATCTCAGGGCGCCGAGCTCCCTGCTCCGGTATCCCGGTGAGGGGCAGGTAGCAGGGTCCCGGCTGAGGGAGGGGCTGCAAAGCGGCTGGAGCTAACACGGGGAAATTAACCCTCCCTAAGAGGAGACACCAAGGGGTGGGGGATCGTGCCTGAACTAAACAGCGATCGCTCGGGCAGGGCTGCCCTGAGGTTTGCTAAGGGAGGAGGGATAAAAGTGCAGCCACCAGAGCCTGCCTCCCTGGGCGTCTCTGTTAATGATCTTTGCTCCTCCTCCCACCCCTTAGCTCTACTTCTCCTCCTGTATCTAGTACGCCCTTAGCCCAAGGGCCCACGAAACTTAGTGCTATCTCTTTCTCGGTAGGACAAGCTGTACACGTGTGTTGCCAAAGCTACAAAGGTGGTGTTAAAAACAAAATTCCTTACATGGGGTGGGCAAACTATGGCCCGGGGGCCACATCCTTCCCTTCATATGTTTTAATCCAGCCCTTGAGCTCCCGCCGGAGAGCCGGTCCAGGGCTTGTCCCGCTCTGCGCGACTCCCGGAAGCAGTGGCATGTCCCCCTCCTGCTCCTACACGTAGGGGCAGCCAGGGGGTTCCACAAACTGCCAGCACCCCAAACGCTGGCCCCGCAGCTTCCATTGGCCTTGAACTTCATTTCTGGCCCCACCCCATAGCTGTCACCCCAACCCCCATTTTCGTGAGCATTAATTGCCAGCCATACAATTTCCATACCCACCAAATTCATCCCAATGAGTCTAAAATTAATTGTAAGCATCCTTTCTCTGATAGTTATATCTGGTCTACACTGGCCAAGTGTATTTAAACTATATTAGCATGAACTGGATTGAAGCCTGTACAGCTATCATGTTGTCTTCTATGTCACTTTCAGCAATCCTGAATTAATTTTTGTCCGTGGGTTTTGGAGATGGCCCTGTAAGAAACCAAATAAATTATTTGTTGTAATTATTTAATTTCCACCAATTAAAGTGCAAACTTCTTTTCTATTTGCAGTAGCTCTTTCCCAATGGCTTAATATTTTATCTTATATCAGTGTTTCCAAGTTGAAGGGGCTCCCTCAGCAGTGCCAAACTATTTCAGGGGGACAGGCAACAGAAGAGACAATCAATATGGTTACATAAACTGAAGGACCCAGAACTATCCCTGCAAACACTGCAAACGTGCTAGGTAGCTCCTTAAAAGTCACCCACTTCCCTTGTTCACCTAACAAGACTGCAAGTAAAATTTTCAAAGTGACTTAGTAGCCTAGGTGAAAATGGGAGTTAGGTGCCTCAATACCTTTGAGGTTCTGGGCCTTAGGAGCTTAAATCCTATTGATTTTCAATGAGACTTAGGCTCCAAAGTGCCTAATTCACTTTTGAAAACAGCACTTAGATTCCTAGGTCAGTTAGGTGGTTTTGAAAATTTTATCCTACATCTTGCCCCCATTGTGGCCCCAGGGTAGATGCCTGAGAGAGCAGCTAACATAATTCAAGGTGGAGGGCCAGGTAACAACTTACCAGCCCACCCAAGATTCACATCTCTGCTCTCATGGCACTCAGGTTATCCTTGGGTGTACCAAATGGATGGCCCCTGCCCCAGCAGCCCATAGCCTTTTGGAGAATGGGGAAATAAAGGGGGTGATTATCAAGTGATCTATCAAGTGATCGATCCCTTGTCGCCCATTCCGAGCTTCTGGCAAACAGAGGCTAGGGACACTTCAAAGCATGGTTTTGCATTCCTGCCCATCCTGGCTAATACCCATTGATGGACCTATCCATCATGAACTTATCTAGGTCTTTTCTGAACCTGTTATAGTCTTGGTATTTACAACATCCTTTGGCAAAGAGTTCCACAGGTTAACTATACATTGTGTGAAGAAATACTTCCTTTTGTTTGTTTTAAACCTGCCGACTATTCATTTCATTTAGTGATCCCTAGTTCTTGTATTATTAATAAGGAGTAAATAACACTACCTTATTTACTTTCTCCACACCAGTCATAGTTTTATATACTTCTATCATATCGCCACTTAGTCATCTCTTTTCCAAGCTGAAAAGTCCCAGTCTTATTAATCTCTCCTCATATGGAAACTGTTCCATACCCCTAATCATTTAACCTTTTCCAATTCCGATATATCTTTTTTGAGATGGGGCAGCCAGATCTGCATGCAGTATTCAAGGTGTGGGCATACCATGGATTTATATAGAGGCAATATGATATTTTCTGTCTTATCATCTATCCCTTTTCTAATGATTCCCAACATTTTGTTAGCTTTGATTGCTGCTGCACATTGAGTGGATGTTTTCAGAGAAATATCCACAATGACTCCAAAATCTCTTTCTTGAGTGGTAACAGCTAATTTAGACCCCATCATTTTATATGTATAGTTAGGAGTATGTTTTCCAGTGTGCATTACTTTGCATTTATCAACATTGATTTTCATCTGCCATTTTGCTGCCCAGTCACCCAGTTTTGAGAGATTCCTTTGTAACAGTTCGCAGTCTGCTTTGGACTGAATTATCTTGAGTAGTTTTGTATCATCTGCAAATTTTGCCACCTCACTGTTTACCCCTTTTTCCAGATAATTTATGAATATGTTGAACAGTACTGATCCCAGTACAGACTGCTGGGGGACACCACTATTTACCTCTCTCCATTCTGAAAACTGACCACTTATTCCTACCCTTTGTTTCCTATCTTTTAACCAGTTACTGTTCCACGAGAGGACCTTTCCTCTTATCCCATAACAGCTTACTTTACTTAAGAGCCTTTAGTGAGGGATCTTGTCAAAAGCTTTCTGAAAATCTAAGTACACTATATCCACTGGATCACCTATGCCCACATGTTTGTTGACACTCTCAAAGAATTCCAGTAGATTGGTGGGGCATGATTTCCCTTTACAAAAACCAAGTTGACTCTTCCCCAATTAATTGTGATCATCTATGTGTCTGATAATTCTGTTCTTTATTATCATTTCAACCAATTTTCCTGGTACTGAAGTTAGGCTTACCAGCCTGTATTTGCCAGGATCACCTCTGGAACCTTTAAAAAAAATTGGCATGACATTAGCTATCCTCCAGCCATCTGGTATAGAAGCTGATTTAAATTACGAGTTACCTACCACAGTTAATAGTTCTGTGTTTTCATATCTGAGTTCCTTCAGAACTCTTGGGTGAATACCATCTGGTCTTGGTGACTTATTACTGTTTAATTTATCAATTTGTTCCAAAACCTAATCTCTAATGACACCTCATTCTGGGACAGTTCCTCAAATTTGTCACCTAAAAAGAATGGCTCAGGTTTGGGAATCTCCCTCACATCCTCAGCCATGAAGACCAATGCAAAGAATTCATTTAATTTCTCTGCAATGGCCTTATCTTCCTTTAGTGCTCCTTTAGCATCTCGATCGTCCAGTGGCCCCACTGGTTGTTTAGCAGGCTTCCTGCTTCTGATGTACTAAAAAAATTTTTTGCTGATACTTTTTGAGTCTTTAGCCAGCTGTTCTTCAAATTTTTTTGGCCTTCCTAATTATATTTTTACACTTCACTTGCCAGAGTTTATGCTCCTCTTTATTTGCTTCAAGAGGATTTAACTTCCAATTTTTAAAGGATGCCTTTTTGCCTCTAACCGCTTCTTTCACTTTGTTGTCTAGCCACAGTGGCACTTTTTTGATTCTCTTACTATGTTTTTTAATTTGGGGTATACATTAAAATTGAGCCTTTATTATGGTGTCTTTAAAAAGTTTCCATGCACCTTGCAGGGATTTCACTTTTGGCGCTGTACCTTTTAATTTCTGTTTAACTAACTTCCTCATTTTTGTGTAGTTTCCCTTTCTGAAATTAAATGCTACTGTGAGGGGCTGCTTTGGTGTCTTTCTCCACCCCCGCCCCCCTCCCCCCGGGATGTTAAATTTAATTATATTATGGTCACTATTACCAAGCGGTTCAGCTATATTCCCCTCTTGGACCAGATCCTGTGCTCCACTTAGGACTAAATCAAGAATTGCCTCTCCTCTTGTGGGTTCCAGTACGCGCTGCTCCAAGAAGCAGTCTTTTAAGGAGTCAAGAAACTTTATCTCTGCATCCTGCCCTGAGGTGATATGTATCCAGTCAATATGGGGATAATTGAAATCCCCCATTTTGTATTTTTATAGCATCTGTAATCTCCCTGAGCATTTCACAGTCACTATCACCAGCCTGGTCAGGTGGTCTGTAATATATCCCTGCTAGATTCTTATTATTTAAGCATGGAATTACTATCTATAGAGATTCTGTTGAACAGTTTGGTTCATTTAATATTTTTACTTCATTTGACTCTACGCTTTCTTTCACATATAGTGCCACTCCCCCACCAGTAGGACCTATTCTGTCCTTCTGATATATTTTGTACCCTATTATTACTGTGTCCCATTGATTATCCTCATTCCACCGAGTTTCTGCTATTCCTATTATATCAATATCCTCATTTAATACATGGCACTCAAGTTCACTCATCTTAGTATTTAGACTTCTAGCATTGTATATAAGCATTTTAAAATATTGTCACTTTTTAGCTCTCTGCCATTATGTGATGTAATTGAATGGGACTCTTTCATTTGACTGTTTCTCATCAGATCCTACCTGTATATCATCATCTTCCATCCTCTCCTCCTTATTAGGATATAGAGAATCTCCATTAATAGATCCTCCCCTAAGGGATGTCTCTGTCTGAAGCATGTGCTCCTCCACACCTGTTGGCTTTCTCCCAGCCCTTCACTTAAAAACTGCTCTATGACCTTTTTAAATTTTGTGTGTCAGCAATCTGGTTCCATTTTGGTTTAGGTAGAGTCCATCCTTCCTGTATAGGCTCCCTCTTTCCCAAAAGGTTCCCCAGTTCCTAATAAATGTAAACCCCTCCTCCCTACACCATCGCTCATGGAGACCCTGCAGTTCTAGCTGCCTAACTGGCCCTGCACACAGAACTAGAAACATTTCAGAGAATGCTACCATGGAGATCCTGGACTTCAATCTCTTACCTAGCAACCTAGATTTGGCCTCAGGGACCTCTCTCCTATCCGTCCCTATGTCATTGGTACCTACATGTAGC